ATCAAGATCATCCGCGTTATTTGGTTTAGTAGCTATTTTTTTGTTATGAATGGGACTACATCAAAGGAAAAAAGCTTAATATCGTCGATGGCATTCAATATCACTCACTTCTATCTGATATAATTTACTTGCCATCTACTATATATTCGCGAAAAAATATGAAGTTTAGGTTGCAATCAGTAATTTGCATATTTACAGCTCTGTAGGTAGACGTGGCAGACCTATGCAGGGCGTGTTTTTGGTCAGAGTGGGGCGTGGCATCCAAGATGTGTTGATTCACTACAGGTATGGATCTTGGGCCTTGGGTCCTGGGTATAGGGCCACAAACTTCGAAGTCACGCTTTCACTTCAAACTTCAACCTAGAAGTACAGAAAGTATTTGTGGATGTAGGTTCTCTAAAGTCTGATACAATCAACTTCTGAACTACTTTACAGTTCATGCAAGGACACTAGACCTGTTGAGATGAGGCTACTGCATAGAATCGTGACCAGTACCATTGAGAGGACTACCTACGAACTACACTACAGACTACAAACGCGAACTTACCTAAAAACTCCGTCTGTATCTGCGCGGTATACACCTGTAAAGTATAAAATACCGAGTAGTCTTTTCGAAAGTATTTCCAAACTGTTCGGGTCCTTCAAAATTACATTGAATTGCATAAGAAACTGATACAGCCGAATTCTGAATGGCTACAAATCAATATCCTACGTAGTTGTGGTTACTGAACAGGACCATGAAGTTTTATAAGGATGGCACCGTTGACTACTTTTAGAAATTCACAGGTCCCCACAGGGTACGTGTGTGATCGAGGTCACTGTAGAAGTCTTTCAAAATTTATGCTCAGAAGCACTCGTATCCAAACTTATATCCAATTCCACAACCCAAATTACAACGGATTTCATCGACTACGTGGACTGCAGATAACTCTGCAGTCCACGTAGTCGATGAAATCCGTTGTAAATTGGGTTGTGTGTTGTCATAAAGGACACTTCTGTGAGATGAGCTGTATGTGGCCATGAACACTGATATTGAGATGACAGCACCTTTGGGTACTCACAGGAATTGGCAGGTGTCTACAAGGTATGCACTTGTGTGGTCGGGGTTACTGTGAAGGCCTTTCAAATTTTCTTGGGTGATGGTGTTTCCAAATACAAATATTTCTGCAATCCATGTAGCCAATGTGTTTCTGTGTAGATTAGGCTGTATGTGGCCATGCATAGTACTCCTGTAAGATGAAGCTGTGTGAGCACTGATTTTGAGAGGATGGCACCATTGAGTTTTTTAAGGATGCAGGTTCCCACACAGTATGTACGTATCGGGATTACTGTATGGAACTTTTAAAAATATTTCATGCAGGTCTGAAGGTAATGTAGTGTATGTACGCTTGTATAGAACGGGCTACCGTGTGTGGGACCATGAATTCCAATTTCTCGAGGATCTTACAGCCTAATTTTTGGAAGAATCCAGCGGTATCTCCAGGGTATAACTAATGTAGACGGGGTCAGTGTAAAGGTCTTTTAAAATTGGTTCCAAGATACATCAAATGAGTCTAAAATTCATGTTGATGCTGTTGGCGCTGCATATGGGAATTCTGAAAGGGGTTAATTACTTATTTCAAAAAATACAGATAGAAATTTTGAATGACCGGTCGTATCCGAAGGAGTTACACCAGATTTACTGCATAGGCTTTCTACGGATCATGCAAAGACTGTTTTTGATTCAATACCAGCGAGTCTCCGGCCAAGCAGCGCTCACTGTGAGAATCTGTCCACATTTATTCTAATCGAGCCGCCCGGCTAACGCCGGGCTTCCCTCCTTCTTATGGGTTCGCCCGGCTACGCCGGGCGCTCCTCCTTCCTGTGAGAAATTTGCTATGCGTAAATAACACCTCGGATTCTCCTTTTTCTTTGAAAGCTCTACACCCTCAGTATTAGCTCCGAATCAGGAGCGATTTTTCTGTAAGCTATCATCTTCGCTGTGCCCAAATAGAACATCGCATAACATCACAAATGCGATTACTCATAGAAAAAAGTATTCAGATACTTCATCGCGGCTGAGTCTACTATGTTAGCTACCATCAATGTTCCCAGCCGACTCCTTGCGTCCTCGAGTTTCAACGGTTTGGGTCCGAATCAATAGTATTTATTCACGCCCAGCCCTTTAAGGCGGGGTTTAGCCTTGCAACCTTCCATCGATGTTCCTATCCTGCCTCCTGTATTCTTTCAAGTTTGGTCGCTCTAGGTCCATTTTGACATTTCTCTGCAAGCCCCGCCCCTGAGGGAATTATGAATTTCTGGCCAAACTGTGGGCGGAGTCCGGTCCTGCCACCCACCATGAGTGTTCCCATCCAGCCGCCTGTACCCCTACCAAGTTTGAACGCTATATGTCCACGTTTAAGTTTTTTACACAAACCCCGCCCCTTGTGGGCGGAGTCCGGTCCTGCCACCAACCATGAGTGTTCCCATCCTGCCGCCTATACCCCTACCAAATTTGAACGCTATATGTCCAAGTTTAAGTTTTCACACAAACCCCGCCCCTTGTGGGCGGAGTCCGGTCCTGCCACCAACCATGAGTTCTCTTATCCTGCCCCTGCCTCCTGTGCTCATGCCAAATTTGAACTTCCAAGGTTCACAGGAACAGGAGCTATGAATTTCTGCCCAAACCCCGCCCATTGTGGGCGGAGCTCAATCCTGCTACCCATTATAAGCGTGCCCATCCTATCTTGGGTAATCTTACCAAAGTTGGACGCTCTACGTCCACGGGAACTGCAGCTACGATTTTCCGCACAAACCCCGCCCCCCGTGGGTGGAGTCCGGCTCCGCCACCCAACATAAGTGTTCCCATGCTGCAGCCTGTACTCCTACCAAGTTT